TGTAATATAATAAACATTCCGTAACATAAAAGAATTTTCCTTATTTATTCATTTCATCATTTCTTTTCTGACATTTGATATATTGTGTAAATTAATTTCGACAAGGTCGTTGTCACATATATCAATAATTTAATTTTCCGATTTCTTATTTTATCAAATAATTATTTACACACTATTTATAAATTATTGACCTTTATTTCTGTTTATTTTCAACAATTATTGTTATTATTTTGCAATGATATCAATTTAGTCAGTTATAATTCCTATAAAAATGTGCTTATTCCATCAATATGAATTTTGTGAGAAGTAGTGACCAATAGAGTTCAATCATTTAGGCTGTGAGACAAATATCACTACTGCTATTGCGTGATGGTTACACAATATCATGAATTCAATGAAGTTGGAAATGTAGATCATTGAATGCAACTAATTGTGTTTGTTGATACCTTAATCACTTGAAAATTCAGACTCTCTCTCTTATGGATCCAAAAACACATCGTACTTATGGTAAACTTGCCCTGGCTAGATTGATTTAACTACAATATCCAGAACGGTTCGATTCATATTATCTCTTCTAGTAATCTTTGTTTTTGTTATGCAACAATTTGTCCAGGCTGAGCTTAATTTAACAGATGTCTACACACACTGTTGAGTCATTAGCTTATCCAATTTATATTACATTAATATATCACATGGTTCTGATAAAGTAAGACATGTCATCGAATTATTTAAACTGATCAAAGGAAATAAATGTTTCTGAGAATTAAAGTTGACGTTCAGATGTACTTTATGGTCGTCTCAAATCATAAATCATTGGTTATAGTATATTTGTTTGTCGAGCTATTTATTTTAATGGTCTCTTGTTATTCAGTAATTGACAAGTTTGAAAGTGAGACTCAATGAATTTACGAAAAACAGATAGATGTTTTCATGACAAAACAGATGGATTCGCATTGTCCCCTTCTTTAGCACATAGTCTAATCTAGTTCAGAAACAAAATACTCGTATATCAAAGTTCTTGGAACTCTGTACGTTTTCTTTCCAACGGAAACCTGAGAAAATTCTGCTAGGGTTATGAACAATCTAGTTTGTGATAATAATCCTTTTACGTCCATTCATCGGTGTATAGCTAGTATTTACCGCACGTATCCTGTAAGACCCAATGCAATACTTGCGATTTATCATATTACCATAACTTGAACTAATACTTCAGGAAAAATACTATTAAAAAGTCATAAACGAACCCCGTTCTGATGAAAGATAACTTTGTTGCTAATTAGGCAAGATACATAACAAATCTTCTGGAATTTCGTATCGTTGTAGCCAGATAGCAGAAAAAAGTATTTTTATCTCAGTCAGTTTGTTTAAGTGAATTCAGATTGACAAACATTTGTATTTGAAGAGTCCCTTTTCTTTAAGATGATTGATTGGCTCATCTAGTGGAAAATAAAACATTCAATCACAGACTGGTAATAGTTCTCAATCTCTTAATTTAAAAGAATCTTGACCATTAATATATATTTTTTCATATTTTCCAGTTTTCTATTCCATATTTGTAGACGAGTAACAGGGTTCAATAATTCTTTCACATTATGGCCAGATTCAGAGTTGGTAATTGAATAATAAAATATTTAAGAAACCTGACTTACTTAAGCGATACAGACGAATAAATATTTCTGCTCTATTGATTATTCTTTGCCAAATTAAACTTTTTTTTTCAAATAATTTTTACATAGTGGGTACAGGAAATGACATCTATTCAATTGTAAGTTTTTTCATCAGTGTCCCCAGATGAATATCTATTGAGGAAGAAAAAATATCCCAAACTCTTTCTACATGAAGTTTATTAAAAAAAGTTTACCATTAACTTTTCGGTTCTTTACTATTATATTGCTTTTTCAAATAAAATACATTTGTTGTAACTATAACCTCAATAATAATAATAATAAAATTTTGGCAAAGTATTTTATTATTAACTGAGTTTATATATTTATATGTGCCATCACATTTCTTCTTTTTCAAAAAAAAAACGTTTTTGTGCCCTTTAAATAAATCAAAGTTCACTTAATAAAGATCCTAGATACACCGATTGCGTTGTTCTTTTAAAAAAAGTTATATACTCATGTGTATTTCATTTTAAAAAAAACAAAACAAAATGCACTCGAAGCGTAATACTTGTTTTGATCGTCAAACTTATTTTTATTAATAGTTTAATGACAGTATTCTTACCTTATTATTACAAAAAAATATTGATGCAAATAAAATATGCTATTATATGATATTGTATGAGCTATTCAGATTTAGATTATAGTGCATTTAATTGTAAACAAATAGGAAATAATAACTGTCATCGTTGACTGACGTTGAACCACTGAAATTTCAGATTATTTAGTAAATATAGGAATATTTGAATAAAAATTAATGGATGACTGCTTACAAATTCTGATTGATCCAACTCACCAGTTAGATATAGTCAAGTGAAAACTATTCATGCGTCCCGTCAACCAAATGATGGAGTTTTACTTATTTTCAAATACACAACATAAAGCCACTATTATATCAAGATACTTGTTTTCAACTAACACTGGATATCCGGTCATAAAGTTTATTGAGTTAGCCATTTTAGGTGTACAATAGAAAGCTAATTTCTGGAAATTGTGTCCCTGGTTCCAAGAAAAGGTTGAAATATTCGTATTAAAAGGTATTCATTTATGTATTTACCATGATGATTTTTAGTATGGCAATTTCTTTCCTGGTTACCTTTGTCTGTCTTCCCCGTATAATCATTCAGAGTTTATTTTAATTGGTGCTGAGTAGTAAAGAACATCGAAACAAGTGATCGGATGATTAATTTTGAATTTTGAGTTAACTTATATTCGTTTTAATTATTGTGTTACTGAATCTAAAAGAAATTCCTTTGATTTTATTCAGTAATATTTAAATGAAGTCGATGTTTGCTCATTGAAATAATTAATAACACCATAACACCATTCTGCATGGACATTGGCGGTTATAAAAACGTTCAGGGTGAAATTATATTCGAAAGAAATAATTTAAGTTCTCAAATGTAGACAAACGATTAATTTTTAAATGAACATATGAATAATTTGAATTAGCATTTCGTTCTATGTAAAGTTAGTTAATTCATGTAACCCAGTATGTAGATTCTATAGATCACATATCATTGCGATTGATTTAAATATACTGTTTTCGATGTACATTTCCTGCAATAGAAACGATATTGATGATGAAAATGTCAAAGCTGGTGTATGAAAATTTATACTAAATGAGAATACAACTCCAAGTGAAAAAATATTGATATTAATCATTAGATTTATATAAGCAGTCAGTTTGAGTTTATTAGTCTACAAATTTCCGTACCTGGATATGATTACCCTTTCTAAATATTCACATACTAAAAACTATTGCTCATTGCCTTTTATTTTTCGGTAGTTTTCAAGTTAATGTCATTTTAAGTTGAAAACGTTGTTTTGGAAAAAATATATGCACAAATCACGTAACCTGTTCATTCGTGAACAGTATAATATTTTGATCTTGATATAGTCACAAGGTAATCTATTAACTATTAATCCCTTATTCAAAACAAATAATGAGCGAAAATATGTGATAAGCTAGTTGTGAGAAACATATTTCTTGTATAAGATCTTTCAGTGGTAAACCAGGCATCTCTTATCATGCATTTATTACAGTAAAGAAGACAGGTACACATTTAAGCTACGTAACTAAATATTCAGACTTAGAGTATATAGACATAGACCGTTTATATATTATAACAAAAAAATGACCACTTTGTCAATTCATTTGTTGTTATTGAATATTATAATAATATTATAATATTCAATGCTATGCTACATTGCGTTAATTCATCAGCGGTCTGATGTAACTGTCTCCAGTTATTAGGTTTCTCTCTTATAGTCGGTAAACAATATTTCTCTTTTTTGCTTATCCATTTGAACTTTCGCAGTCAATGTATATGAAATAAATAATACATTAAAAATCTGATACTTCTTGAACACACCATTCTAATGATTTCGTATAACCTTGACCAGTATAAAATGACCTAAGTATGTCCATCCAATACCAACTAATATAACATGTTACTAATCAAACGTCATGGTTAAATAAATAATTAAGCAGACTAAGAAAATAAAAACAATACCTGCTTGTTTATTTTGATTGAAAATTATGTGATAGCAATGTCAACGAAATGTGTCATGTTAGGGATAATCACAAGTGAAATACGTAAAAATAAGTTATAGGGAAAAAAATACAAACTAAACACTTAAAATTACGTCCGGCGAATTCAGTAGACCGGGATCAAAGTTTTGTATGAATGGAATATAATCGAATATAAGGACACTTTCAATCTATGATATCAGTTTTTCTCCCTAACTTACCGTATTTCGTTTTTGACAATTCAATCCATTTTACCTGTTAATTATCCCAAAAGTTACTCATTAAGCGAGGTGATAACATAAATGTATATTTATCATAGTAAAAGCTGATCAACATAAAACTATTTGGAAAATTGGTTGTTATTAGGATACATTTGTCCATATTCTGAAAAAAGGAGAGGAGTATACAAATCAGATGGTAACAAGTATTTTCTCCAAACAAAAAAAATATATAATGCTGAAATTTTAAGTCACTTTGAATTGTATACGCAATATGATTTGATTTTCTGTATCATGTTTTTAATAATTATTATATTTTTAATAACTTCACGTTTCCTATGTGTACAGAAACAATAAAACAAGCATAATTAAATATTTTTTTTCGAAAGTGAATCTAGTTATTCGTGTTGTTTGTACAGTCATCAATAGAACTAACTATATTTCTTTGTTTTGACATCTATTTCAAGATTAATATGTACTATTAATGTACCTAGTGGTTTCTGAACCCTTTATGGAATGCACTTTACGTTCAAATATTTTTAAATTGACAATACTTTTTCAATCTTTTTTTACATGAATTAACAGGCGAGAGCAACAATCAATGAACAAAGAGAATCAAACAGTCATTTACATGTTAATAATCCTTTAATTAGTGCACTGGAACATGGAAACTTTAAGCATCATAGACGTCTAACAAGTGAATCTATTTCGAAAATCTCCCGTTTATTGAGGGTAAGACAGTCTATATCAAAAGATTTGTATGAAAATAGAAGATCTACAAGTAATCTTAAAGACTGTGATAATACCAAAAATAATAATGCTGGGGTTGGATGTAGTGACCATATTTCAAATGTTGATAAAATAACTGAAAGCCAATCTGCCGTTCATCGTCGTGAGTCTAATCCTTTTCGTCATTTGCAAGTCTTCCGTCTACATGGTTCACGGAGTCAGCATGCATCAGATCGTCGATGTTCAGCAATCCATTTAACGACATTTTCTAAACGAAAATTAAATCTTCATAAATTCAAACATAACCATGGTTATCGTAATTTTTATAAAAAAATAAACTGTTCCACAAATTCTGAAACTGATGATAATCATAATAATAAAAAAATAGTGAATATGAAAGTCGTAAGTTCTTCACAAATACCAGACAAAGCTGACATAATGGACATAGATGCGCATTCTCATAATGATAATTCTAATGTAGATAACTCAGTCTATCCTTCCTATAGTGAAACAAAACCGTTGTTAGATAATTCAAGGTTAACTTATAGTGATGAACTTGGCTTGAGCGATTTGGTAAACGAAAAATCGTTTCTTACAAGGGATCCAGGTTTCGCATCAAGTCCCACTTGGCCATCTTTTAGATTTCCATCAAATTCGTTCCAATCCAAATCCAACTTCAATTTTACTGATAAGTCATCCAATAATTATGGGAAGTCAATTAATCCGTTTGACAGTGATAGTTGGTCTAATGAGCATAATCTAGTTAATACAGCTGCCTTGCCTAAATCGTCCTTCAGTGCTGCGGTTTATCCGGACTCTGTGATATTTTGTACAAGTTTCAATACAAAAGCAAATGTTTCATCTCAGTCGTCATTTGTGCAATCCAACCCAATGTGTTCGTCGTTGGAAGATGAAAATCTAACCGAGTTTGCTAGTGCACAGTCACATATTTCAATCACATCAACATCACATCCGAACAGTTCGTCAGATAATACAACCAATAATTTTATTAATAAAATAATTACCCACTCTCAAAACTGTCCAAAATTATCGTTTCCTATTGATAAAAGTTTGTATAAAAGTCATATTAGTTATGCAAAATTAAGTCCCAGACTTTCATATTCATTTCCCCATGAATTATATCGCAATGTTTCTCCAGATTTGATAAAACAATGCGACAATCAACTTAAAAATTCTCCCTCAAAACTCGTTAAATCGAATACTGAGAATTTGACTGATATACATTCAAGTAATGCTTCTGTAAATTCCGATCCTCCAGTATCATTATCATCATTTAAACAGCAAAAGGAGTAATTAGGTAAGTATAATGAATTTTTATACGAAAAATGTCATGATCTTGTTGCGTAAAGTATACTTGTTATTAGTTCATCCATAGTAAAATCGTGATAATATCGTATTTCGAACTTTGGAAGTAGTTACAATTGTACACCTCATTTTGTTCACGTTTGCTGTAAATACTCATTTAGAGAAAGCGCTGTCGTAGTCTAGCTTCTGAGAAATCGGTCTCTTACACAGAGATTAGCTTGATGACTCGGAATATGCAGATGATATAATGGTGTTTGGTGACGATACAGATAAAATGCAGAGTCGTCAGATCACCTTGAGTGATAACGCTGATGTGTTTAAATTACGATTTTCTTCCTCTAAATCCAAAATATTGCTGGCTGGTCTATGTGGACACCTGAATCAGTGGTAAGGAGTGAAATAATAGGGCGCATCGACCACTTCATTTTTCATAAACGTCTCATAAACACTGATAAGTTTGCGTCTAACTAAATCCTTGCACGAATTCAGAATGCTAGTTTGTCTTTTACTAGTTCATATCTCTTACGGCGTAGGAGATGCCTGTTTTCGCATCAAAGGAAAAACATGCTTTACGGTAGTTTGTACTGTGAAACACACCCATTAAGAATTGAGGATATTCATAGGTTACGAGTATATGATCGTAGGTGTTTCTAAAGCATAAGTCTCCTAAATTGGGACGATTGAGTACGCAATGCTGAAGAGGGAAACGAAAAGCTAGTCGAGAAACGTAACTCGGTTAATAAGATAGTGAGTCGTTGTTGATTGAAGTGACTGAGATATGTGGTACATGAGCCTAACCACCATATACTTCGATGGGTGACTTCGCCTGATTTAGAAGTAAGCTAGAGGCGACCAAACCAAAACGTAACGTTAATCCATGAATTTATTGATAATTGGACTGAACCGTATTTTTATGTATCATTTGTTATTTCAGTTAAGCAACTTAAAATATCTTGTTTTTTTCCAACTGGTTTCCAAATTAGTATTTTCACAGCCCAACCATATTGTAAAATCGAATAATTAGTTAATATAAGTAATTAACTAGCCTAAAATAATAAGAATACTTCTAACAAATCTTATTATAATAATAGCAAGTGGAAAAAGAATGAATTTATGTTTAATAAACAGTCAGAAGTAAGATTTTATAACTAAGAATTATTGATTATAAACCCTACTGACATTATTCTATTATTTTTCGTGCTATTAATCGGTTTCTAATATGTATAGGCAAGATAAATGAAAAGCCTTTTTATAAACATTGAAATTAGCAAATAGGTTAGCAAATAAATCCTGATTACTTAAATGAATGTATGTGTGTAGGTGTATGCATCTGTTTCTATGTCTGCACACATATACTACCTCTCTCTTTAATACACTTTCAAACCCACTTACATTACGTGATTGATATTTACTTTGTTATTGTTATTTTACGAATATGAAAAAAAGGAAATACTCGAATATAATATATAATTAACTGTTTGACTAACCGCCTCTTAAATATTGATCGATTTAATTTTACTTCCAGGGCAGTGTTGTTAATGCTTGTCTTCAGAATTTTTTTTAAAATTTCATTTCCAAACTTTATTCTTAATCCCTTAGAATATGAATATTTTACGTAAGTACTATAATCGATTATGTAGAATAGAAACAGTGATCTTTTTTTAATGCTTAAATTAAGGAAATTTCAAACTAAAATATTAACTAAAATACATTAGTTATTTAAGCATTTGTAATGAAAATACAACACCACCTACCTTTGTTTGTTATCAAGTTCTACGAAACTAGTTTACTTCAATATTAAACTTACGAAGTAAATTATTATTATTACATACAATAAACTGAAGATTTATCTGCAAATTTAAAAATTAACCAATCAAAATATTTCCCAGATATATATATATATATATATATATATATATATATATATATATATATATAATATTATTGCGTTGTTCCTTTGTACTATTTAAACTTCAATTAATTATAATTTGGTTATTTATTTATTCTCTGAAGAAGTGGCTTACATCAAGTCACGAAACGTTAGAAAATCTGATTTTTCTACTGATTAGGATATTACAAATATATTATTTATTTATGTTATTTATCATAGTTGCATACTTATGTTTATGTTTATTTAATATGGATAACTGTTAAGGAATTAACTATGAAGTATTAAATGAAGTAGATATATGGTTATATAATAGATGATACAAAATAATCAAATGAATTTGTTATATAGATTAAAAATATAAGAGGTAATTATCAAGTGGAAGAATATTAAAATTGCAAAATAAATTTCAAAAAAAAAAACAATTGATGATTAAGGATTATTGTCAAGTATGAAAAATTAAAATCTGTTTAACTATCACAATAGAATAGACATATTATTTCTAAGCATATGACATTAAAAAGTATCAGCTGTTTACTTGTGAACTAATCGATATAAGATTATCTTTGAGAATGTTAATGTGTTCTATATACTATATCTTTGTATTATGCAGTTATTATAAACAAAAGTAATCAGAATTTTAATTTTCTAGTTCAAGAATAGTGTAAATGAACTTTTACATTAGTGGTTTTAAATAAATGTTAAAGTGAAAACTTAAAGGAAAAAGAAATAAAACATTATTCTTGTGTGTATATATATACTAAACAGCTTTTTGTTAAAACTATGAGAAAATCCCTAAAAATTGATTCTATTTGGGTTTGGTATAAGCGGATTTTTTGTAAACAAAAATATGTAAAAATCTAGAAATAAGAATGTAACAATTGATAATATAAATGAATTTGATGGTCAACTGATTTATTAATCACAGAGGTAATTATCAAAAATACACGATATTCAACTGGAATATACCTAATTGTATTAGTATCTATGCAAACTAAATAAATTTCCAGTATAGGGTTGTGCAGATTGCTGACTTTCAATAAGATCACTAATCAGTTAATGTTAAACCTGAAAGCACTGGAAGGCCGTGTCGTCCTAGTATAGGACTCCTCAACAGTGCAGATCTCTCACACGGGACGCAAACCTAGAACTTTCAGCCTCGCGCGCAAACGCGTCACCATTGGACTATTGGGCTGGCATCCAACAATATTATTGTCTAACTTTAAGCAATCCACGATATTTCGCGACCATCTGATGTCTTTCGTGGATAACTGCATCACATCCGACACGTTTGTTCTTTACTGGTCATAATTGGTCACTAGAACATTGAAATTCCGTCTCGAAGCTAGTCACTAGTGAAGACATGATTATTAGTATAGGGTTTTTCTTACATTTGAAAGAGGTAGTATATAAACTATACAGCTGTAAATTTACCGTTCTTTCTTCAAACAAATACGGTAATATCAGTTGTATATAATATTCATTATAATTTTGAAGTATACATAAAGAGAGGCCTGCTTGAGCATCTGGGCTACCTGTTCCTGCCATCTAGATATTTCAACAAGTTATCTATTTTTGTTTGTTTAAATATATCATTATGTTTATTAATCGCATAACTTATTCTGCTGCGTTTCTGAAAAGTGTACAACTTCTCGTTGTCAAAGTTGCAAAAAACTCAATAAGAGACAATGTGGTTGCTGGCAATATACAGCGAAAAGAATGCACATTATTCAGACGTTCATTTACTGAACTGCTGACATCTAACTGGCGATCACTCAATATTTATCGCCAGGATCGACCAAGAAGAAAGAAACGGAAACTTGTTAAAATACTTTACGCTGAGAATTCTATATTGTACCAAAAATATAATATTGAATAAAGCTGATGATAATAATAATAATAATTACAGAAAAAAACATACGAAGTGAACTTTTCCTAATATGTATTAAAAGGAAATCATTCAGACGAAATATGATTTAATTTCTGTTTACTGTAAGGATCATGCTTACTTACTTACTTACGTTTGTTACTTCTCGTGAAGGAGCATAGGTCCCTCACCAGCATTCTCCATCCAACCCTGTATTGGGCAATCCTTTCCAGCTCTTTACAGTTCTTATTCACTCTTTTCATATCTGATTCTATGTACCGAAGTAATGTGTTCTTTCGCCATCCTCTTTTCCCCTTCCCATCAGGATTCCAAGTTAGGGCTTGCCTCGTGATGCGGTTTGATGATTTGCGCAATGTATGTCCTATCCATTTCCAGCGTCTTTTCCTAATTTCCTCTTCAGTTGGAAGTTGAGTATCTTGTGTAGACAACCATTTATAAATACTTGCACCTTCTTGATGATGGTTGTAGTAGTTCTCCATGTTTCAGCTCCGTACAATAGAACCGACTGCCTTGACATTAGTATTGAAGATTGTGAATTTGATATTGTTTACAGTCATTTTGAGTTCCACATATTCTTCAATTGTAGGAATGCGAACCTTACTTTGCCAATCCTCACATTTACGTTTGCATCAGATCCTCCTTATTCATCGATGATACTTCCCATGTGTGTGAAGGGTTCTACATATTCCAGAGTTTCGCCATCAAGAGTGATTGAATTGCTGTTCTCCATGTTGTATTTGAGGATGTTGGTTTTCCCGTTGTGTATGTTGAGGCCTACTGATGCAGAGAATGCTGTTACACTGGTTGTCTTCATCTGCATTTGTTTGTGTGTATACGATAGGAGGGCTATGTGGTCTGCGAAGTCCAAATCGTCTAATTGGTTGTGAGCTGTCCATTGTAATCCGTGTTTTCCTTCAGATGTCGAGGTCTTCATAATCCAGTCGACCACCAGAAGAAGGAGGTAGGGAGAGAGTAGGCAGCCCTGTCTGACTCCGGTCCTCACTTGGAATGCATCTGTCAGCTGTCCTCCATACACGACCTTGCATTGTAGTCCGTCGTGTGAGTTCGGATAATATTGATAATCTTTTCAGAACTCCATATTGTCGAAGAAGTTTCCATAACGTTCTCCTATCTACACTGTCGAATGCCCTAGAATGACCCTATATATCCCTTCTTCTCAAAATCTATTCATTGTGGTTAATTTTAGAAAAAAGTG